GCCCCGCCCCGCCCCGCCCCGCCCCGCCCCGCCCCGCCCCGCCCCGCACGGGGCTGGCTCCGCCACCGCGGCGGGATCCGCAGGCGGGAGCGGCAGGGACGGTGCGGGGCTGCGGCTCCATCCTCCGCGGTACGTACGTGTTCGTGCGGGGCACGCGGGAGCCCGGGGGCCTCGGCGGAGCGCGGGCAGACCCGCAGCGGAGCTGCCCCACGGCCCTCGGCTTCTCCGGCTGCGTTCGGAGCCGCGATGGCTGTGCGGGGGCTTGGAGCCGGGGCCGGCATCGGGACACAGAACCCGGGGGCTGTTCGGGGGCTTGGGACCGGGGGCTGGGAGCGGGACCCGTGTGTGGGGTGACGGCGACGTGGCTACCGGCGCTGCCCTTAAATATTGACCGTTCAAGGAGGAATCATCCACCGGTCCGTGCGGGGCTCTGCCCGCTGTCCCCGGGAACAGTGGTGGTGGGGCTCGGTGGGGTGCGGGGGGCTCGGTCCTGCCCCCCTCGGGCACCTCCTTGACTGGGAAGCCCCAGGTGTTCACACAGAAAAGGGCCGTCTGAGCCTCCCTGCGCACCCCACGCCAGTCTACTGGGATGATCCTCCCCGTCGCTGTCCCTGAGCAAGGCTGCAGCTCATCCCTGCCGGGGAAGCAGCGCAATGTCTGCTCACCAGGCTGAGCATTTCCCCGAGGGCAGAGCACCCGTGTTCCCCGTGTGGAGCTCCACGGAGCCTGTGAGGGCTGTGTGAGATGTCGCCTGCATCCCCGGTGAACGCAGGGTGTGAGATGGATCCTGCCAGGTGCTGGTGTCTTCTGCACGCTCCAGGCTCTGCTGTTTTATTTAAGACTGCTTGTTGTTTTAGTAGCAGAAGGGACATAATATCTGTCCACACGGCACGACTTATTGAGGGTTGGAATCACGCCAAAGAGTCTAAATTCAGACCCAACATGCATCGTGATTGCAGGCAGCAGGCTCGCGCTCGCACACACATTTTGCAGATACTGCATTCTCCCTCTGTTGCTGGTTCCTCCCACAGGGGATGATAACCACAGCAACAAAACTGCCTTTTTCTTTGCTTGTTTGTTTTATCATCCTTCCCTCCCTTCATCCCTAAGCATATCTGTATGGTGGCAGAGTTCTGGAGGCTGCTTGAAGGGTCCCTGTCCTGCTGCTGCCTGTTGTGTACCTGGTCAGATGCTCTGGGTGTTGTTAGCGGCTGCTGTGGAAACAGGAACAGGACTTCAGCAGCAACAGGAGCAGAGACATTTTTTCCAGGAGCTAAAAGCAGCTCATTCTCTCCAGACCTCTTTGCAACCTCATGGGGGTAGATGAATCCCTGCTTCAAGTTAACATCTGTCTCCAAGTTGGATGCCAAAACAGAAAGACTGTTTCTTGACTCTGATTTGAATCTAGCCTGGCTCTTGCAAAAACGACCCAAAATGGTGGAAAAAATATAGGTGATGTTGACAAGAGGTACTGGGATTTGGAAAAGCTCAAGTCCAAGCCCTGTGTGCCTTGTTTGCAACATTCAAAGGGAACCATGTGTTTGGCCTTGAACCCAAGCCCTGGCTGCTGAGGTCTGACCCTGCACCAGCACAGCTTGGTCTCAGGCAGCTGCAGCATCCCTGCCTGTTGCCAAGGCTGGAGTGCAGGGCAGGGGTGGCTGGAGGAGCAGCCCCTGGCAGAAGAAGGTGCAGGGGTACACAGCAGGTCAGTGAGCCTGGTGCCCTGCTGCTGCAGGCACCATAGCATCACAGAATGGTTTGGGTTGAAGGGACCTTAAAGATCATCCAGTTCTAACTCCCCTGCCATGGACAGGGATATCTTCCACTAGACTTTGCTGTCTCGTGTAATGTCTTCACAAACATGCTAAACCTCAGTTAAGTTTTTGGGTTTTCTTTGTTCCTTTACTTCTGTTATTAGGAAACTGTTCCAGAGATTGTTTCTGTTGAAGATCAGAAACCTCCTAATTACCAGTCAAAGCTTGTTCAGGACTCTCTCATTCCCATGCTTTCCTCCCGCCCCCATGTTTTTCCAGCCCTGATTTTTAGTTTAAGCTGTTCTTTTTCTGTCTCTCCATAATTTCTTCATTGGCTGCAGTCACCCTCCCCCACTCCATCCTGCCCCCGTATTTGTCGTGCGAATTGGGCCAAATGCTCCCTGGTTCCCTGTGCTGCTGCCAGTGCCAGCCTGCCACTGGGAATGCGGTGGTTGCCCAAAGCATCCTTCCTCCACTGGGCCCTGCGGTGCCCGGGCAAGCAGGGGATGAGCTCCCCCTGCAGTGGGGACCGTGGGCTGTGGTGTGGGATGCGCAGTGGATGTGCAGGTAGCCATGGTGACAGTGCCCAGGGACCTGGCAGCTGCTGGCCTGCCTGCAGCAGGGATGCCCCTGGCACAGTGAGGAACGGTGGGAGCAGCGATGCCTGCCCTGTGTCTGGATCGTCCTGAGCAAGGCACCCAAATGGAGGCACAGAGCAACCTTCCTGCTGGATCCTGGGGAGGCACAGTGCATGTGGATGCAGGTCTCTGCTGCTCTCCTGAAGCATCCTCCCTTGGGCTCCACTTGCTTAGGGAGTGGATGGCTGGAAGAGGTGGGGAAAACAGGCACAGAAAATTTGTGTGCTTGAACAGGCTTTTCCTAGATAGAGCCTCTCCAGAGAATTTCATGCCCTCACTGGCAAGGGAGGGCTCTAAAATGGGTGGACTTGAGAAAACAAATGACTCCGTATGTTAAATTCACAATGGGCAGAGAAGAATTCAATGAGCCTGTATGAGGAGTTTCTACACACGGGGCTGTGATGAGACACGATCTGTGTCCCTCTGCAGCAAAGAGCTGGGTCATGTGATGCTGAGAGAAACCAGCGGGGTTTTGGGGGGCACAGGCCAGTGCTGGGGTGTGGCTCAGCTGGCACCTGTTGCTTTCCTGGGTTCCCCTCCTCTGTGCTGTGGTCCCCAGTGTGTGGGGACCTCCTCTGTACTGGGTGCTCCTCAGCCTGCTGGGAATGCTGGTGGTGCCACACCTGGGTGGGTGTACCCTCTGTACCAGTGTCTGAGAAGTGGTGTTTTTCAGGTTGAGCGGTGGCTTCCTCCAGGATTTGTTTTTCAGCTGTTTCCATAGAACTGAGCAGGAGGGATCAGATCGCTTTGGACGTAGGGATGAGTCCATGAGATGTCAGTGGTTCCTCAAGAATGTGGAAGAGGAGCTGGAGCGTGGTTTGCAGTGTGGGCTGTGCACAACCTTGGTCTCAGGAAGGTCTATCTAGAAGCTGTCCTTGGCTTTCCTGTCCTTCAGCTGAAGCTCTCTTCTTGGGTGGCACACAGCGTCCCCTCCCAAGCCTGGTGGCTGAGGGAGCCCTGTGATGGCCAGTGAGAGCTGCTGACCTGATGCTGTTGAGTGGCAAAGAGCCGCCTCTGAGAGCAAGCTGGGGTTTGTGGGAAGCTGCATTTAAGACATTGAGTTACTCTTTTCACTTTAGCAGCACCATAAAGGGGAGAAAATAGCATTAAAAATATTCCATGGACTGAGTCAGAGTTAATTTGGACACTGTTCTCCTTTGCTCTGATGATGTGCACAACGTGTTCTTCCTGCCAGGACAAAATCTAATATTTCTGGGTGCCCACAACCTTCCTTAGAATCATAATAGCAAGCTGAATGCCCTCAGAGTGCCGCAGGTGATATTAAAGCACTAATGATGAAATCAGTCTCTTAGCCCAGTAACAAAAAGGATTGTGCTGCCCTTCCTGGGCACCATCCTGCTCTGAGGTGTTACCAGCAGTGTGGCAGCCCATACCCAGTGTTCCCAGTGGGCTGAGGCTGTTCACTGGGTTGGGTCGGAGTGATGGGATCCTGGTTCTGGCAGAGGTCCCTGAGAGATGTTAATTTAGACTGAGGTAGATGGTACTGAGGAGCTGTCCTCCCCCAGGGCTTTTGTTCCCTAATTTTGGCTGCTCGGTTATGATTTGGCTGTGCCTGCTCTGAAAGGGGGAAGGGTTGTTTTCCCTTTTGTTTTTGAGCCCAACTGTGTGAAATACCTCGGGGGAAAGAGGGGAAGTGAGAAAATGTCATTGCAGAGACTATTTCTGGATGCACTCCCATGCAGGCGAGGTGGTGCTGGGCAGGTGGTGCTGTGGTACCCAGGAGCAAGGGATGATGTGGTACCTGGGAGCAAGGGAGACTGGTGGCCTCGGAGGAGCTGGGGTTGGGTTCTTGGTGTATTTTTAACCTTTGCCTGGTACAAATGTAGTTTATCACCTGTATCTGTGGTGGCTGACGTGGCCCTGGGGGGCTGCCAGACATGTGGGGATGGGGAGCAGGCTTCCACCCTTCCCTGGGCACTGGTGTGGGGTGAGGTGGGGGGCTGCCCCACACCCTCTTGGGCAACAGGAAAGGGAGATGTGTTCCTATGGCCGTGCCAGGGTCCTGCCCTCCTGCGCTCCAAAATCCTGGGAGAGGTGTGTGATTACTCTGTAATTTAGCACAGATGAGACATGAGGAAGAGCTGTTGGACTGATTCTGACCTGCTGACCGTGGTGACCTCCTAGCAAAGGGGAGTTGGGCCCTGCCTTGCTGCTTGTGTCCCTGTGACCTTCCCTGCTTCCATGTCACCTCCAGCAGCCATGAGTTCACACGGGGCTGAAGTGGCAGAACAAGATGCAGTAGCTGGTGCTGATGGTGCTGCAAGGGGAAAGGTCTAAATGGAGAGCTGGCTGTTTCTCTGGGACTCTCCAAGTTGTTCCCGATGTAGTGCCAGCTAAGGTCAGAGCTTCCCACAGCTGCTGTCACTCCCTGTCCCACACCTCTGTGCAGGGCTGCACTGAAGCGGATGTGTTGGGTGTTATTCCCATGTGTGGCAGAGCCTGGCTGTGCAGGAAGCTCCCTGCTTTTATTTTTAGGCATTTTAATTGTGAGCAGCTCAGTAGAGCTGGGCAGAAATGAACTGGATTGAGTGTGAGGAATATGAGACCTGGGGGAAGATGAAGCGAGAGAATAACGTCACACAGTGCTGTTGATGCAGAGCTTTGACAAGGATCATGCAGGCCAGGAGCAAACGTGCTCCAAGCAAATGTCTGTTCCAAATGCTTCGTGGTACCTGAATTATGGCTGCAAAGCCTGCAGCCTGGTTTTTTTGGGTTTTGGTTTTTTTTTTTAATAATGTCCTTAAGAGCTCTAAAATGCAAAGAATTTCCATCCTTTCGTCCCTTTAAGGCTGTGGGCAGAAAAGTAGGAGTTGAAATAGCTAAATTTCAATCCAAGTTTTTTCCCTGGAGTTGAGTGATTTCTCTCTCCAACTCCCTATACCATCCCCCCCCCCCCGCCCCTTTCTTTCACACATCAGACAGAATGCAAATGTCTCTCAATTTAAAGCTTTTGGGTGCTTGGATGAGAGCATTGGGCTACAGCTGCCTTAGTCCCCGGAGCCAGCACTGCCTGGAGTGTCGGGCTGAGGGGATGCTCTATGTCTGCACCAGACCTTGGTTTGGATCGCCAGGGTAGGAGGTGAGTGTTCTGTGGTCGATCTGGTCAGACCGTGGCAGTCAGAGGCTGTCACTGGCCTTTGAGCTGCTGCAGCTCTGGGATGTGAGCTCTGGGCTCCTGGATCCCGTGGGCACAGCGGGTGATGTGCGGGTGAGCAGCTCCCCCCTCCTGGCTGCGGTGCCAGGCTTTGCTCCAGGGTCACTCTGTGGCCTCAGGAAAGCTCCCCCTGCCCCTTGATTGCTGAGGGTTGCTCAGGGTTCCCACCTTTCCTTTTTGACTGGTGGAGGGTGATCCGCCAGTGTAGCCCAGCCCTGAGTGGGTGCAGGTGGGCACTCTTGGCTGGTTTGGGGAAGTGGAAGTTGTGGGGACACCTGGGCACTGTGCCCACCCCTGGAACTTGACTCACCTCCCCACAGCTCTGCTGTGACCCGCAATGCCCAAAGCCTGGTGCAGGGAACAGTTTCTGTTTTCTTGGGATTTGAGATGGATGGGAGCTCATACCCAGCTAGAGGTCAGCATTTCCATTTCCATGGGATTTCTGAAGCCTGGCTGTTAAAGGATGGGGGTTTTGTGTGGTGGTCAGGCTGTAGATGCCACTTCAGCTTTACAGAGCTGCTGGGGAACCAGAGGAAGGAACATGTGTGCTGCAGGCAGCTGTGTGGAAGCTGGTGGGAGATGGCTCACTGGGCTCTAGGGCAGTGGGATCTGCTTGCCATGAGAGATGAGGTGATGGGGTTTTTGCTTCCTGAGGTTTGATACCTTTAGTAGGATGTCCCCAGAGGGGCACTGGAGGGGCAGGTGGAGGTTCCCCTGCCAGGGAGCCAGCCTTGTGCCGTGACTGCAGCCCTACCATTTCAGAGACAGAGGAAGAGGCAGACCATGGTGCTGCCACCAGGACCCTCTGGACTGGGCCTTAGTGGCTGGGGCAGCCCAGGGCATGACGTTTGTGGGCGACACATGTCCGTGGCTCAGCCCCGGTGCCCACACAGCGGCTCCTGCCATTAGGAGAAATACGATATTTGCAGTGAGGTTGCGAAAAGCCTGTGGCCACGGAAAGGAAAGGAAATGACTTTTCTGTGGTGTTGGTGTGTGCATGTGTGCATGCGCTGCTGTGCTGGGGGCGGCTGACCAGGAGGTGCCGGGGTCCCCCCGCCCCAGCACAGCTCCCTCGCGGCAGGAAGCGCCGCTGTGGCTGTGCCCTGCAGGGCTGGCACATGAGTGCCACTGCCCCATAACCACTGCCCCGTGGCCGCAGCACTGAGCCACCACCATGTTCCAGAGGAAGCGCAGCGTCTCCTTCGGCGGCTATGGTTGGTGAGTGCCCTCCCTTTCCCTCCCTCCCTGCCTCACTTCTGGGAGCCATGTGAGGAGCTTTTCTTCCCTCTGAGGCTTCAAAGGAGGAAGCACCACGCGCTGCAGTACATGGTGGCTCTGCCCTCATAGCAGAGCCTTTCCCACAACCCTGTGCCAACAGGAGTGTGTGGGTGTTGGGAAGGACCTTCTTCCCTCTGTGCCCGCGGGAAGCCCAGCACAGCTTCAACCCAGCAAAGCCTCGTGAGCGCCAGACAGTGAGGAGACCTCCCTGGGAGCTCATGGTGGGCTCCTGTGGGCATGTCACCTGCAAGAGCTTCTGTGCCCCTGCACCTTTCTCTGCTCTGTCTGTCCCCAGCAGAGCACCACGGCTCTCATCTGCACCCTGAGTTCAGTGGGCCTGTTTGCTCCCGTCCCTTCCCTCCAAGAGGTGTTGATCTGTAGGGAAATAGCTTAAGAAAATACACTGTTCTCCCTCTGCCCTCCCTCCAGGTCCCCTCTCCGAGGTGTTTTATGCCCATTCCAGGTCTGTGCTGTATGACTGTGATCAGTAATGGGCCAGGACACTGTAATGGTGTTGGGTGTTTGGGGCAGAGGGTTGCTCTGCCCCCTCTCTGCTCTGCAACAGCCATTGCCAGGACTGGGCAATGGCAGCTCTAGGGCTTTGAGGGAAAATGTGGTGCTGTGGGCTTGGAGCTGCTTGAGATCAGCTGTGGGAAATGCTGAGTAACTGTGAGGGCTGTGGGGGGCAGCCAGCACACCGAGGCTTTGGGCAGAGTCCCCTGGGATGGAGCACACGCCTCGCTGAAGCCAAGTGAGCTGCCTTGGCTGGATTGTGGGTTTTTTACATACAAAGGGGAAGGGTGCACTTGGATAAACTTCTGTACAAACAAGTTTCGTGAAATGTGGGCTCATTTTGTGGTGGACAAATTGCAGCTCTTGGACAGCTCTGCCCCACAGTCTCTGTCGGGGGCAGTGGCTCTGGGGCTCTGACTGCACTGGGGGCATCCCGGGGGCATCCTGGGAGCTCCCGCTGTGGTGGAGCTGAGCCGTGAGCCCCCCTTGACAGAGGTGTTCAGGGGCAACTGGGCTTTACTCTGTTGTTTTTCTGCTGTGCTTTGGCAGTTGCAGGAAAAAGACAACTGCAAGCTGGAGAACCACTCAGGAAAATGTGGTCTGCCGGCTGGTGGGAGGGGGGGCCGTGTCGGCTGCGGAGGGGCTGCACTGGCTGTTGGTTGCTGTGCTGGCTGGGCTGTGCCACCATCACGGTCAGGGCTGGGGAACAGGACATGGGCTTTCCTTTAGACACCAGTGTCGGTGTCTGCACGGTGAGAGATACAGGCGGGGAGCGCGGGGGAGGAGCCCCATCCTCGGTGTGCTGCGGGGGAGCTCCCGAGGGGTCGGTGCGCATCTTCCTGGGTCCCTGGGGAAGACGCTCTCGTGCGCGGCCAGGAGAACCTTTCCTTGGGCGTTTACGGGAAAAGAAGGGACCTGCTACAGCCCTGTCCCTGCACCTGCACCTTCTCACGGTCCCGGCCGACCCACCCTTCCTGTGGGGCCGCGTGTGAGGTGTCCGGGCACACCCAGCCGCCGCTCGCTGTGGCTGCACTTGCTATTTCCAACCTCTGCTGGGCTGGAAATTTTTTTTTTCTCTCTCTACCGGCTGCGTCTGCTGCTGACGAGGTCCTGGAGCAGCGTGCTTGTCTTGGGGGGCAGGCGTGGTGCCCCCACATTGACTGTAGGGATGCACATGGCAAGCAAAGCCACTGTGAGTGCTGCCCTGGGACTGGTGCTGCCCTGGGACTGGTGCTGCCCTGGGACTGGTGCTGCCCAGGGCCGTGGAGCCCCAGAGCTGTACCAGAGCACGGGCATGGGGGTTTCACTTTGCCTCCTCCTTGGGAGCAGGGCAGGGCAGACAAACTGTTCTCGTAGTCATAGTGCCACTGCGGTTTCCCAAGCAGAGGAGTTTCTTTCCTGTGTGTTTCTTTTTTTTTTGGTTTTGATTTTTTTTCTTTCTTCTCTCTCTAAGAGGCCAAATAACGACTGTTTTTTCTTCCCGTGGTTCCGGATGGAGCCACTCGTGCAGCCTCCGCTCAGGTCCCACAGGCGCTGCCCCAGCCACCCACTCCCCCTGAGCTCCTTTGCACCTACCACCAAGTCTGGGAACAGCTCTGCCACCTAGCATTCTCTGATGTTCAACCTGATTTAATGATCAACAAGATCTGGGCAGGCTTGTTAGGTATTAAGTGACAAAAGCAGGTGCCCTGAGTCTATTTTTAGGAGCAGCAGCGCACTGGCTCTTCAGGGCAGAGCATGTTTGGGGAAGTGCCTGGAATGGAGCTCCTGAGGCTGTGGGGTTTTGTGAGTGCAATGATGGTGCAAGAGAAGGACCCTGGGAGGGGTGATGGTGCCTCTGCCCTGGTCCCTGTCGGGCTCAGCCTGTGGCACGGCGTGCTGGGGACCTGGGACCTGGCCCTGCCGTGTCACCCGCGGGTGCAGCCACCTCGTGACAGCAGAGCCCAGCTGGGGGTGGTGAAGGTAACGCTGCGAGTGGAGGGGAAGCTGTATTGCTGTGGCTGTGCTGTGTCCTCTGTGATCACAGCACGAAACAAGAGGGGGTCGGAGGTGCTCTTTTTGCTGTTTGATCTTTTTTGAGATGTGGAACTGATTCCATGTGGCAGATAACAGAGCATTTGCAATGACTGCCAAAAGACATTGTTTTGCATTTTGAGACATTACTGTGATTTGCATTAATTAATATTAATATGACTCTAACCATAGTGATTCTGTGGAGGTGGGGACTCATTAATAGTGCCAAGGAAATGAGTGAATGAACTGGGGCTCCTGTGAGCAAGCCGGGGCTGGGACCAATGTGGCTACTCCGTATTCTGTCTGCCCCGGGAGGGTCACGTTTGTGGGGTTTGGTGGGATCTTCCCAGCACGTCAGGGCTCTCACGGGTCTATCACATGTAAATACATGTTTTGTGGGAGCTGTACTTTGGAGATAGTCAGGACATGGGTGACGTCCTTCTTTGCTGCCCAGCTCACCCACCTCTGGCGTTCCAGGTGGGGAGGCAGCAGTTCTGCACTGGTCACCACCAGGAAAGAACTGGGGGGGTTTTGTCTTGCTTGCTGCCAGGCTTCATTTGGGTTAAATTTTGGCTGAATTTGTTTTCTGATTAAGTCCTTCTGTGGTGATTGTCATGTCAGCCAGAGCACTGGCACCTCTGAAGTAGATGCTGAGGTTGTGTTTGGCAGGAGACCCCAGTACCCGACCCCCCTGCTACCCCCGCAGCCCCTGTGCCCACAGTAATGCCCTGCTCTGCTCTCTCCCCAGGATCGACAAGACAATGCTGGCCAGCCTGAAGATCAAGTGAGTACCTGACTCTTCTCTCACGTGGTGATTTCCTGTGCCATGCACGGCGCTGGGAGCTGTCTCTGTGTGTGGAGGATGCTTTCCTGGGAGCTGGGTTCCAGCTGGTTCCATGAAGTCCAGCCACATCCACCCCTTCCAGGGCATGTGTTTGTACATGTCCCATAGCCTGTTCTGAAAGTCTGAGGTGAATCAGGCACTGGGAGATTATAACAAATACAGTGACACGATCACTGTAAGATCAGTGGGCTGAGACGTGCACTGGCCAACTCACAGGGCACCAACTCTGCCTTGGGGGTACTGGGGGGGGAATCAGCAGGATGGGCCAGCACTGAGCTTCTGGGTGTAAATCCAGTGAAATCTGGAGCTTTCATATTTCTTTTTTCAATTTTGCAGTCTGGAGAGGGGCTGTGTGTCAGTGGGAGAGTGAGTGCCTGTGACCCAGCTCCTCTCCCGTGCTGCTGGGGGGCTCTGGGCACTACTCTGGAGGGAGTGGAGGTGTTGCTTGGGCCCAGGAGAGTCTCTGGACTGGCAGTGTTGCTTGGTGGGTCCATCTCGGATTTGCCACAGACTCGCTGGGCACTGGTGGTGTGGACTGTGGTGCTCTGGCAAAGTGGCTGCTGGGCCAGGTCCTGCACTGTGATAGAGCAAGGCACTCTGCTGGGAAATGTCATCAGCTGATGGGGAAAAGCAGGTGAGGAAGGTCTGGGAATGGTGGCACTGGTGCTCTCTGCTCCCCCAGCACTTGTGGCTGTCTGGGACCTGCTTCCTATTCCCACCAGCTCTGTCCTCCCAGCTGCAAGTCTGGGGGCACCATTCCCTTCCCTCCCAACTGTAGGGCATCCTTCCCTCTCCTAGATTCTGGATGAGCTCCCTCAGGGGTTCCCCATTGTGAGCACGCACGACTCCAGCACTATCAGCTTCACCCTGGGTTGATACAGAAATATTCTGCCCAGGTCTCCCCTGGGCTCCGGGCAATTTGTAGGATGACAGCTCATGTGGTTTCCCTTTATTATCATTACCTGTGCCAATTATTCATTAATGGAAAAGTATCTGGGAAGCCTGGGGGACCTGCCTGAACGAGCCGGCAGATGCCCGTTGTAACTGGCACAGCAGAATGGTTGGTGCTCTGCTCACTGCTCGGGTTGTGCTGAACTAATGACAAGTTTAAATCAACATTTACCGCTTTGGGGAGTGGAGGGAATTCTCTGCAGACTTTCCTTTCCCTGTGAAGCCAAGAAGGACTGAGCTGCTTCTTGTACTCTGCCGTACACTGTGCCCTGATTTTTTTCCAGGGCTGGTGCAGCAGTTCTGCTGCAGAAACCCCGTGTACCCTCCTCTCCCCACTGTGCCAGGCAACTAGTGCTGCCCTTGGAATGGTGTGGAAGTGCTGTGGGCATGCCGCCATGCAGGGCAGGGTGAGGGTCTGGCTCCACATTTCTCTCTCCCTCTGCCCCATCCTGCCCTGGCCAGTGGAGACAGTTTCCTTGGATCTTTTGATGAACATCCACTGCTCTTTGCAGCTAATGCTTCCCACAGCCCTGTAATGCTTCTGATCTGTGGGCAGGTTGCTTCTTTAAGTGGTCCTGTAATTGTGGCCCAGCCACGTTTGTAAAAGCTTTTAAAATTATAAAAATATAATAAACCCAAAGTTCTGGTTTTCTAGCGCCCTCTTGTTATTGCTGCAGCCTATGGCTGAGTGTCCTGGCTTAACCCACGGCACAAAGGCACCAAGCATGGGCAGTTTTCTTTCCCTGTATAAGTTATTAGCAAAAATCCGAGCACCTCAGGGAGCCTTATGCTGCTGCAAATATCAACACTGACTCACAGACACGCGGCAGGGGGGCACCGGTGTGCAGTGGTGGATGTGGCTCCTCAGATCTGGTGTCTGGGGGGATGGAGCAGGGCAGCAGGAGGGCTGAGTGAAGCTCTGGGATGCAGGGCAGTCCCTGCCTGTCCTCTGTCAGGATAAACTCGTCCACACAGGGTCAGTATAAACTCGCCCACGCAGGTAGCACTGGAGCATCAAAGCAGTTTTCCCTCTGACTGTCTCTCCTTTTTCTTCAGTTTGGGTTTCATTAGTTCCTATGGTAACCATGAATATGTCTGAGGGACTGGAGAGCGTGAGTAGACACTGCAGAGTGGGAGTGTTGGGGGACGTGCTGGGTGGGGAGCCCTGGCATCATGGGCAGGGGCTTGTCTGACCCCTCTGGTCACAGGAGCTGAAGAGGTGCCAGTGCTGCCCTTGGGCAGGGAAGGTGCTGCCGAAAACTCAAGCAGCCCTGGGTGTCTGCTGCCGAACAGCCACGCTCACTACGTGGCCTCTGAAGTGCCCAGGAAGCTCTGGTGGGTTTGGGTCTGGTTCTCCCCCCAGGAGCTGTGCCATGCCCATGCCTGATGGACAGAGGAACCTGAGACCATGGGCACCAAGCCAGGAGCTGGCGTGTCTTGTCCCACCACTTGGGTTTGAACATGCCCTGGCCATGGGCCAACCCTGGCTCTGGAATCCAGTGTCCTGGGGCAGGAGGAAGCTGAGCCTCTGGCTGCTGTGGGGAGCCATGGGCTGCTCTCGGGAGCTGGGGCACGCTTCCCCCTCACATGGCTGGGGGGTCCCTCTGGGGGAGCCTCACAAAGCCCAAAGACAGCCTATGGGGGATGGAGAGTCAGGGAAAGGGCTTAGGGATACCCTGCTTGCTGGTTTTGGGGGTACATGTCACCAGGAGTGGCAGCAGGCACTGGTGCTGCTGTGCTCAGGTGCTGGGGCTTTTGAGAGCCACTGGGACCGGGGCCAGCCCCAGGGAGCTGTGGGATGGAGACTGAGGCACTTGGGCAGTAAATGGGATTTGGCACGTGCAGACTTTGGATTTTGGTTTGGACCAATTCCGTTGTCATTTTGCTGTTACATTTGTTTATTCCTTACACACTTCATGTGAAAGCACTGGGGGCACCTGAACCCCCTGGGCTGACAAAAGGGGCATCACATCCAGAAGCAACCCCCCAGCCTTGGATTGATGGTGGTGGTTTCTTGTGTCACATGAAATCTCTGCAGAGGGCTGGCAGCATCCCCAAGGGTGCTCCTTGGGGAACAGCTCCATTGCAGACCTTGTCAAACATGGGGGTTCAGGTCAGCTTGTGCTGCCAGGAAGGGAAGAGCTGAGCCAGATGGCAGCTCAGCCACTTCCTGAGGGGGAAGGTCACCCTGGAGGGAAACATCAGCCCTGCAAAGGATCTTCGCATGTCGAATACCAGTCCTGACCAGGTGAGCCAGCCAGGTGGGTTTGTTTGCCTCTCACAGCTGCCCTGTGCTAACCTCAGGCAGCCCAGCATGTGCAGGGGCTCCCAAGGGAGCAGTCAGGGACCCCTGGGCCCCTCTGGCCTTGGGAAATCCTTGTATTGGGGATGCTGGAGGTGGGAAGGTGCAGTTGGGACAAACCCATGGGGATCTTCCTCTGATGAGGATGAACGTGTGGGGACCTTCCTCCTCATCTCTGGAACAAGCTGGCAGAGTGGTGTCCTGCAGGGGGTTCACCAGCCCTCTGCCTGCCGAGAGCTCTTCAGCCTCTGCACTCTGGTTGTTTGCTCGTTGGTGTTGGTGGGATGTACTGAGAAACCGTGGAGTATTTAACAAAAAAAAAAAAACAGTAAAAAAATTCCCTCCTTCAGGCAAAGAGTCACCTCTTCCTTCAGCCTTATAAAGCAAAAATAGCACCGAAATAATCATGTCTCCATGGAATGGAGGAGCCCTGTACAGCAATTACTGGGAGTCAGCCTGCGTGCAGTCAGAACTCACATGAAAGAGCATGTGATGCTCCTCTGCTAGTGGGATCAAGAGGATGAAGGTGGGAAGAGATGAAAGATTTACTTGACCTTCGTAAAATGAGCTGTGTCCAGGCTTGGGGCTCTTTAATATTTGATGGGCTGGAGCTGAGTTAATGGGAAGATGTGGGAATGATTTAGCTTCTTGGAGATGGCTGCTCTGAGTATTGCACTAATCTTGGAGGTTTGCACTTGGGTCCTGTGAGGACAAGGTCTGGTGAGCAGATTTGCATCTAAGTAAATTCCTTTGACTTATTAGCACTTTATAAATGGATAATTGCATGCAAATATATGTTTTGCAATTATACTTAGCTGGAGTAGCACATGCAAAGGAAACACTGTTAAAACTACTGCAGCACACAGGGAGGCAGGTGGGCTTCCCATCTCCCTTGCTTTGGAACTGCTTCTCTCTGGGGCTGCTGAGCCTGGAGCCAGCCCAGTGGAAACCCCAGCAGTGACCCCCTGCCAACATGCCCAGGGATGGTTATCCCAGCTCTGGAGCCTGGTGGGACCCTTGGCAGTGACTCCCTCCCCCCGTGTGCCTGGGGAGGGTTATCCCAGCTCTGGCACAGAAATGCCAGGGAAGGACTGAGCGTGTGGGGCTGGGGTGTCAGGGGTGCCCAGGGACTTGGAGCAAACTTTAAACCCTGTTAAACCAGTGCTGGGCTGGAGGGACAAAGTCGGGCTGTCTCTCTCAGTGGGTCTGTGCTGGGTGGATGTTAGTTGGGCACGCAGAGGTGTGCAGGGCTGTGGCAGCTTGGAGGTTCATGGCCGAGCATGGCATCCCAGGCAAAATGAGTCCTTGTGTTGGCAGCGGGTCTTGTGCTGGGTCCCTGCTAGGATGAAACCCCTCACAGTGCCAAGGAACCGCAGGCACGTGGCCAAGTGTGACACATTCCTGCTGCTGCTGCAGGCGCTGTCTGCCACCGTCCCCACTGCTGCCTGAGCTGCCTGTTGGGACAGTGGCAGGGGCACAGTCCATCCTACCCAGGGCAGCCCCAGGACTGGTGGGGGATTTATAAAATCCAGCCAGTCCCAACGTCTCCTTGCTATCTCTGCTGAGCAGGCAGGAGCACTTCCCTCTTTCGTGGAAGGGCGGTTATCGTCCTGGCTGCCTGCAGACACCCAGCCCTGTGCCCATGCAGCATCCTCCCAGCACATCTCACAGTCTGCTTGGGACAGAG